GGACTTGAGCTGGACTGGGCTGGGCTGTTTTCCTTGTCCAATTGTTCTTTGATATAAAGCTCTCTCGTACACACGAGTGTCCCTTCATTTGTTTCTTTAGTCAAGCCGGTCTAACACACTGCCATCGAGTTGATTCTTACGCATAGTGACCCTGTCTGGACTTTTCTAGACTGTAAATCTTTATAGGAGCAGATGGCCTCATCTGTCTCACAAGGAGCGGCTGGTGGGTTTGAAGCACCTACCAACCTTGCAGTTGGCAGTCCAGTGTTTACCCGACACCACCACCAGGGCTCTTTCCAACAGTGGCACGTGTCATGAGCACTTAAGACAGCTGGCTGCAGTGTGTGTGTGTTAAGTGTAGAGATGATGTCAAGGAGTGCACTCCAAGGAAGAGAGGTTTGAAGTGAGACCTACGTCACAAGGGGGACCCAACCAGTGAAGAGCTGAGGAAACAGCATTCCGGGCGGAGAATAGGGCGAATCCAAAGAATGAGCTTTGTTCCAGGGCTAGAGACCAGGTTCCTCAGGTGGAGAGAACCGAAGACAGCTGTGGCGGGGGAGGCTGGGGATGCAAGCGTCAGGTGATGTAAAGCCATGAAGGTCAACAAGATGCATTTGGATTCTATTAGTAGGTCATGCAGGGATGTGTAGGTCACCCGGATGAGTTTCCGTTTTATTGTAAGAGTAATGAGAAGCCACTGGAGGAGTTGGAGCCAGGAATGATATGATCTGGCTTACATGTTAAGACAATCGCTTGGGCTGCCCTGTGAAGCATAGGGGGGAGAGGGGGCGAAGGAGGCAGCAGAGATGCTGCTCAGGAGGCTAATGGAGAGATAAAAGCTGGTTTCTTGGGGGAGGGGGAGAGTGCAGAGGGAAGAACGGGTAGAAAATCTGTGCAACTAGTCAATGCAAATGGAGGGTGTGTGTGTGGGGGGAGGGGATGGGCTGGGAGAGCAAGGAAGGGCAGGAAGGACTGAACAATGAGCCTATATCCATGACCTGAGCAACTGGGTGGATTTTCTGAGCTGGAGAGAGGGAAAAATGGGTTTGGAGGGAAACAAAAGAGAGGGCTTCTACCAGACAAGCGGATGCATCATGGAGTGACAGCACTGAGTACAAAGGGAGACAGGCAAGCGAGTTTCAACCTCTGGAAGGGAAGGAAATGTGGGAGGTTGTGTGGCAGGGGGAGACTGGGAGATGGGAGAGCTGTTGGTCCAGGTGAAAGAGAGTGTTTGAGCCTACGTCTCTGCAGGAGCAGGTACAATAACCTCGCTTTTGTTTTTGCCCAATCCTTTTTCCATGTTGATGTTTCTAATACCTGAGGCAACTGAGCCTCCAAGAGGTTAAGAAACTTGCCCAAGGCCACAGAGCTAGAAAGTGGGCAAACCAAGTTGCCCCCTCCCTCAAAAGCAAACCCACTGAATGGCAGGATGACTTTCAGCACAGGAGATGCAGGGCACAGACGGAGAGGAGCTTAAGCTCTGAGGTGGGAAAGGTGAGTTTGGCGCGGCCTCCGTGTGTCCGCGTGGGTGAAGAGTCATTGCAGCCTATGGACCAGGAAGATGGCAGTCATGATCCAGCCCGGGCTGGCTGGCTAGGCAGTTGGGCCGGACTGGATAACACTTATTAATCTGAATTTAATCATTCATTAAAAACAAACACAGTGTCAGGCATGGTGCTAGGTACCGGAGAGTCGATGGCAAGCAAAACCAGACACAATCCTTGCCCACACGGGAGAACTCAGTCATCAAATAACACCCAAGCTGTAGGTAAGGGCTGCCTGGAAGCGGTAGAGTAAATGGGCCGTCACGACTTTCCTGCCAACGAGCGGGCATCGCTGACTCCATTTCTAGGCAACACCCTGCCATCATCCCACTGTGAAATCAGGGGAAATCGCTGCGTCGCTGGGCCTCGAGTTCCCCATTTATTAAATAAAGAAAAAGATCATCTACTCTGCCTCCCCGCCAGACGGCCTGAAACGCTCTCTTCCAAGACTCCAGGTCTGTGGGCGGATCCCACCCCTTGGCTACTAATTGGTTCCCAGGTGTCTCGACCTTAGAGACCGCTCCGCCAGCTTCCACCACCCGCCTCCATCCTTTCCCCAAGGCCTCGGTCGGCTCCTCGTTGTCACGGCAACCGCCCGGACCCTCCTCGGGAAGGAACGTGACGCGACGGCGGTAACTGCGCCACTGTCACACGTCCCACTGGCCAGGCTGCAACATGGCCGCCGCGGCCACAGCCCACCCCGGGCTTCTCGCTAACTACCCAGGCCGGGCCAGCCACGGGCCGACTCCAGGCCGGGACAGGGAAGGACCGGCGCGCCGGCACCACCGCCGCGGGCTCCGGAAGCCTCCCCGCACCCCTTGGCCCCGGAGACCTCCCGGGGTCGCCGCCCTCCACGTCACATCCACCGACCCCAGGGCTCCCTAGACTGACAGCCGCTGACATCCAATCAGAAGAGGGCCCGCCCCCAGGCCCATCCGACAGGGGGCGTGGAGAGTAGGAGCCACGCCCCTCGTCGGCGTGTGACGTCAGAGTCGCCATGTCCAGCTATCCGTACGGGCAGGTGAGTGTGTGAGGGCCCGCGGACCCCCGCCCGGAGCCCCCGTCCGCAGCCCCCGCCCGCCTTTCTCCTTTCCCCGGCCCTTCTCACCCGGGCCTCGCTTCAGCTGGCCGTGCGGGGCGGGGGGTGGGGTGGGGACAGGGACCGGCGGTCGCGCCTGCTCACGTCACGCAGAGCCGAGCGTCTGGAGGTCGCGTCGCGCACCTTCTGACGTCGAGCACGCCAGGATTTGGGGACCCTGGGCCCCACGGATCCAGAGTAGACCAGGCCTGGACCCGACATCTTCTCCGAGGCGCCCGACAGGGTCCCAGGCAGAGTCTACAGGACGTTTGGGGGCCCGGTTCCATCGCCGTCATCTTGGGCATCGCCTAAAAAATACGTTCCCGGACACGCCCGAGACGTATTGCGCCCGAAGGTTCTGGAGAATCTGCTTGCAGCGGGCTCTACAAGTGAGCTTGTTTTCCCCGCTGGCTTAGGCCAGCACCCCCAGTTCACACCTAAAGGAAAGTAGCCCCAGAGAATGCACTGCAAGGGTCGCAAGAGGAGCCGCAGACCCCGGGGCTGCCTGCAGATAGCTCTGCCCCACTGGGATCCGGCCAAGACCACTGTGAGGAAGTGGTTCTGTGGCCACAGTTCTATGTTGAGAGATATTGGCAATGGCGTTTGATGGTGACACGTCCTGTGGTGGGTACGTGCAGTGTGCACTCAAATGTAGGTGGAAACTACAGCACCACCACTTAAATAAATAGCTTTGAGCCCTTAGGCCCAAAGTGGCCTCCTCTGTAAAATAAGGCTGGATATTAGAGTCAGCCTGACAGAGCTGTTCTGGGGGATGCTGAGATGATGCTTGTAAAACAATTGGTCCTGCAAGTATAACACACACCACACCACACCACCCCCCGACCCCCGCAATTCAGTGGACTGATGGGAGTGGGTTTGGGTAAGATAGCTTTAGGTAGTGTTACCTTTTAGTACAGTAGAACCCCGGACGCTAATCCGTTCTAGAAGGAGCATTGAGATGTGATGCAGTCGAGTTCTGAATCAGTTTTTCCCCATAAGAAATAACTGAAAACGGATTAATCCGTTCTCCACCACCAAGTTTTTCTCTAACCTTGTCTTTTGATACAAAACATTACACAGAAATTTCAAAGTAAAAAGTTCAGAGTTAAATAATATCATTTAAATAAACACAACATTTAAAAAGTGTTTAACAACTACAGTCTGGCCCATACCTGGAGACTGATGAGGATCTGGATCTGTGGACTTGGATGTGGAGAGGAGGGATGGTGAGAGAGTCATTGTTTGGAAGGGGAATCCCCTTCCATATAATCAACTGGTAGCTGCTTTTCAGGAGGTTTTTTCCCCCCCTTCTTTGTTTTTTCCACTAGGACCTGGCTGGCTTTCGCTTTAAAAAACCAATCTGTGTAATGTGGTCTGCTGTTGGCGTTTCCTTAACTGCGTTCTAAAAGGGCTTGCTACACTATCAACAATATCACTAACATGGTTAACCAGTTCCTTATCGTGATGATTCTTTCCAAAAACCTTTCTTAGGACCCATGTTTTTATCTAAAAACAGTACAAAAAGCCACAAAAACCTAAGAAAATTATAGCAAAACGCTTGGAACACAGCCGCAAAAAGTTTAAACAACACATACTAACAATGCCAATTAACGCCGAGTGACCGAAACACAAACTGCTTTTGTGTACAAAAATCATGGGCCTCTGGTCAGATTCCGATGTTTTGTTCGAGCTCCAATACGTTTCACGTCAAAACCTGGTTATGTCTAGTAGGGATGTGCTCGAGGACTGGGGTGCTCCTGTATTGGGAGTTTTCTCGATTCCAAGAAGGCGGCGCTGAGAGGGGCCCAGTTATCATTCAGCCCTTCATTTTACAGAGGCAGACACTGGGGCCCAAAGGGTCCTGGCTGGCCCAAGTCCACCCAGTGATTGAGGAATAAAACAGAGGCGGGGTGGGAGAACAGGTGGGGTATGACCTAGCATTTCACTGACGATGGTGTCAGTTGCCCTCCAGTGGACGTTGACTTATGGTGACCTCGTGTGTGAGGTAGCCAAACTCGGCCGGGCGCTGCGCTGTTTTCCTGATTGTTGACTTGATCTGAGTCCTTTGCTGAGGCCCTTGCCTAGTGCCTCCCACCCGAGGGGCCCCCTCTAGCAGCACTGTAGCAGATAGTATTCTGTTGTGATCCACACGGTTTTAATTGGCTACTTTTCACCAGGCCCTGCCCAGAAACTCCACTGAAATGTGTCCCCTGTGGGGCGCCCTGCTGGCATTTGAAATACTGCTGGCACGACTTCCAGAGTCACAGCCACGGGTGTGACTGCCGGGTGGTGGTGACTGAGTATGGTCACATACAAAAGGTATGGCCTGAACCCATTGAGGGAGTGCAGCCCTTTACCTGTGGTTAACCCAGCATCAGACTCTGCTGTCTCAGTCATGAGAGCCCTGCAGGTATGTTGGCAGGAATCAGGACCTTCTGTTTACCGCTGGTGGCTTAGTGCGATCCTCAAGGTCAGTGGTTTGAACCCACTGAGGGAGAAAGATGAGGCTTTCTGCCCAGATAAGGGTTGAAAACCTTGGAAACCCCCAGGAGCAGTTTCTGCTCTGTGCTGCAGGGTCACTGTTGGGTCAGAATCGACTAGGAGGCAGTGAGTCTGGTTTGGAGCTGGCTGGGGGACTCGCCTGAGGTCACACATAGCAGATGGAGGGGAGTGCAGGGCGGGGCGCAGAACGCCTTTCATTCTCCTGGGGTCTGGGAGACATTTAACCCAGCTGTGTGTCCCAGTCGCTTTCCTCTCTGCTGAGTCTCGTGAGGTGTTAATGGGGAGAAAAGTGGGAAACAACCTTTTAAGTACAGCTCTGTACGTCACTAACACATCTCAGAATTTTTTTTCATTTAAATCATTTTATTGGGGGCTCTTAGAGGTCTTATAACTTTCCATACATCAATTGTATCAAGCATACTTATCCGAATGTTGCCATCATCATTTTCTAAGCATTTACTTTCTTTTAAAAAAAATCATTTTATTGGGGACTCATACAACTTTTAGCAGAATACATACATACATACATACATACATACATACATTGTGTCAGGCACATTTGTACATTTGTTGCCATCGTCATTCTCAAAACATTTTCTTCCTACTTGAGCCCTTGGTATCAGCTCCTCATTTTTACCCCTCCATCCCCAACCTTTCCTTCATCTCCCACCCTTCTTCCATCCCTCCCCCTTGATAATTTATAAATTATTTTTTCATGTCTTACACTGTCCACGGTCTCCCTTCACCCACTTTTCTGTTGTCTGTCCCCCAGAGAGGGGGTGATAATGTAGATCATAGTGAACGTTTCTCCCTGTCTTTCCCCACCTTCCTCTTACCCTCTTGGTATCAATACTCCCATTGTTGGCCCTGAGGGGTTTATCTGTCCTGGATTCCCTGTGTTTCCAGTTCTTTTTTTTTTAAATCATTTTATTGAGGGCTCTACAATTCATCCATACATCCATCTATTGTGTTAAGCACATTTGTGCATTCGTTGCCATCATCATTCTCAAAACATTTCCTTTCTACTTGAGCCCTTGGTATCAGCTCCTCATTTTTTCCCGCTCCCTCCTCCTTCATGAACCCTTGATAATTTATAAATTATTATTATTTTGTCATATCTTATACTGTTTTACGTCTCCCTTCACCCACTTTTCTGTTGTCCATCCCCTAGGGAGGAGGTATATCTAGATCCTTGTAATCAGTTCCCCCTTTCTATCCCACCTTCCCTCCACCCTCCCAGTACCACCACTCACACCACTGGTCCTGAAGGGATTATCCACACTGGATTCCCTGTGTTTCCATTTCCTATCTGTACCAGTGTACGTCCCCTGGTCCAGCCAGATTTGTAAGGTAGAATTGGGATCATGATAGTGGGAAGCGGGAGGGGAGAGTGGAGAGGAAGCATTTAGGAACTAGAGGAAAATTGTATGTTTTATCCTTGCTACACTGCATCCTGTTTCATCTATCTCCTCCTTGCGACCCTTCTGTAAGGGCATGTCCAGTTGCCCAGAGATGGGTCTCGGGTCCCCAATATGCAGTCCCCTCGTTCACAATGATTTGATTTTTTGTTCTTTGATGTAAAGATTTACTCTCTATTTGAGCCCTTGGTATCAGCTCCCTTCCTCCCCTGTCAGAATTCTTAGTTTGCTAATGTGTGGCCTGAGTCTGCCAGAGACGGGTCAATACTCTGTGACCCGGCTCTTGCCCTCACACACCGACTATGGTGTTAAGACCTCTGTTCGTCTGCCTCCTAGGTCTAGAAGTTTGTCTGTGCAGGGATCTCAGGTCGAAAGGATGCATTCTAACCTTAGTAGTACTGCGGTTCCTCCTTTCTCTCTCTTTTTTTTAACCAGTTTATTAGGGGCTCATACAACTCTTATCACAATCCATAAATACATCGATTGTGTAAAGCACATTTGTACTTTCATTGCCCTCATCATTCTCAAAACATTTCCTCTCCACTTAAACCCCTGGCATCAGGTCCTCATTTCCCCTCTTCCTCCCGCTTCCCACTCCCTCATGAACCCTTGAAAATTTATAAATTTCATATCTTGCCCTGTCTGACGTCTCCCTTCACCCACTTTTCTGCTGTCCATCCCCCAGGGAGGAGGTCACATGTAGATCTTTGTAATCGGTTCCCCTTTTCCAACCTACACTCCCTCTACCCTCCCAGTATC